CGCGGCCGTCCACGCGCTAGACAACATCCCGCCACACGCCACTCCTGGAAATACAGCCGAGGTAATTGTCAACGTTAAGAGAAAAAAAAAAGTCACAATAGAATATCTGTTTGTGTCCATAAATGGGCATTGATGGTAAAATAAATACTAGATGTGTAATAGGAGAGAGTATATTTGGAAATTATAGTTGTCAAACAGCCAAATGGTCTGTACTTGTACAGTGTAGTAGTTCTCTTATCATTATGACCACAAAGTAAGCGAAACTACTGATTTTATGCCAATTACCTTTTGGTACAAGTCAATTCAAAGCACTGAAAAACTGCAAAATAAATCTAACAAAAAATCTGAGACACCACTTATGTAGTTTAACCATAAATCACTAATAATTGTTAATGCCCTTCAAACGTACACTATATAAAACATATTCTATATAGAGTTATTTATAGTGACTTATACAATACAGTGAATTACCCACTAAAGAACCCAAAAATTATAGTGGCAGAAGTAAAAACAAACTCAGGCCCTAAAGCAGGGGTCTGCTATCTGTGGCCTGAGCCATATGCAATTCTTATCATTTGTATCCTACACGCATCAATTATTTATGGCTTTTTACAGGTGACATCTGAATCTCTGGCAGAGTGGGGCTCACGACAAGCCCAACTGAACGAGGTGGGAAACTTCCTGATTGAGAGAACTAACCCTCAGACCAGCAGGGTCCTTTCAGAGGAGATCCGTCGGGTCAACATGCATTGGGCTGAATTTGTCCACAAAAACACTTTTGTAAGTTATTCTTAATAAGCAGTCAGTGGTTTTAAATCAGCAACATCTCAGCTGTTGCTGCTGCTTTACCTCAACTATTTCTTGTCATTGGCCAAATTCCTAGATGTTTGGCCAATGACTATTTCTTGTCATTGGCCAAATTCCTTTTGTGTTTACGTAATTATAAGTGACGACTAACAGCAGGCATTTGGATCAAATGTCTCATGCCTTTGGAATTTAATGAATTATTCTTCATTTGTTATATTTAACCCTGGTGTCTGAAAATAAGGAGTGTCTGAATGTATGAAGGTGCAGTCCACCTTTTATTCTTTGGATCGCAATGATAATCTTCAGTACAAACCATTACTGATGTTTTAGACAACACCCCAGTCTCTGTCATCATACAGCCAACATTGATTCAAGTGATAAAGATTAAAACAACGCCAGGTTGGATTCATCAGTAATATTCAGCTGATAAAGATTAAAACAAACAAAACAACCCAACCAGGTTGGATTCATCAGTAATATTCAGAGCAAGTCACTATGTATTTTTCTGTTAGTATTCATTAAAGTTCGAATTCACCAGCTGCCAAGTTCCCACTGAGGTGCTCTGAGCATGGCACCGTCCGCACACACTGCTCCCCGGGCGCTCAAAAAGCTGCCCACTGTTCACTTTGGTGATGGGTTAAATGCAGAGGTCAAATTTCATTGTCTGCAGTGATGTGTGTCACAGTGACAAGGAATTCACTTTCCTTTCCTTTAAAAAAGAAAAAAGTGCAAAAGAGTGAGCAAGAGAAAAAGAGCCACCATACACTGAGACACCACACTGCTGTAAAAGTACTAAAACTTTGGCTGCAAAATAATAACTAATAATACAAAGGCAGACTACTAGGCATGCAAGTTGACGATTTAATAACAAGCAGGCCCCACTAATAACCCGTCTGCTCGGCTAAATAGTCATGTCCAGAAATCAACAAATCATCAAAAAAACACGGTTTGCTTTGCCAATGAAATGGTATTGCATGTTTCTTTGTATAGTATACTAAAAAAAATGTGCACAAGAAACTACTTTTGATTTAATTAGTCATGATTATTTGCTGATTAATTATGTGACTAAGGCGAATTACAATTTTAAACTTTGGCCAACACTAATAAAATTACGATCACTTGAAGAATAATCATGCAATTAATGGCCAATAAACTGTTAATTGTTCCCAGCATTAATATATATTAGGGGTGTGCTATAACTGAAAGTGAACAACTTGTCATTGTGGCAGCACACCACTGCACACAACGAAGTGGTAACCAATGGTAACTTGGCAGTTGGTGGACTCAAACCTGAAACCTTCCGAACCAGCACTGCCCTTGTATATGTATATATACAGTAGATATATATAGTTGCTAAATATGTCTATTCCATATTAACTGAATTTTTAGGACATCTCGACTGGGCCCAGGGCAGATGTGCAGACCAGACCCCAAGACCCACAGACCCTGATTAGAGAGGCTACTCTCATTCTTAAAGAGCCCCTGGAGGCCATGGACGGACCTATGCGAACATACAGAAAAAGAATTCAGGTAAAATTGCTGTAGCTTAAAATATGTAAAAAATTTTGAGTTAATACAATTGTCATGGTAATTTACCTGGAAAAGAATCGTATTTAGAAGTCAAGAGTTTTTTGTTTTGTTTGTAGTTTATAATAAAGAAGATAAGTGAAGTGGATCTGGATACCATGATGCCATCTCCAGATTACCCACCAGATCAGATACAGAAACTTAAGCTTGCTCTACCTGAGGTAAGGGTGATTTATCTTTATATATATATATATATATATATAAAATTATATAATTTAACAGAATTTAAGAATTCAATTGGTTCCCACATTGTTGTTGTTAAACAAAGATCTGTAAAGAAAAAAACCCACATGGTTTCCATTGTTAAAATGACAAATTGAAGCAGCATATTCTTCCCTTTTATCACCTGCCTATGTGACGTCACCAGGTGATGCAGACCCTATGTGAGGCACAGCAGGTGTGTACAGAGCTGCAGCAGAGTGTGTCAGGTCTAGACAGTCGGCTGGCTGAACTCCTGCACTGGGAAACAGAAGCCAGGGAGCTGTACCATCTGTTGAGGGCCTCAGAAAGACAACAGCACCATCGGGAACAGGACCCACGAGCCAGGGTAAAAAAACATTTCCAGAATAGAATCCTTTGTGTTTTTTAAATAATATAAGTTTAAAGCACACTCCAACTCTGTATCATTTTCTCTCCCCCAGGTCTTGATCTCCCGTGGTCTACAGTTGGAGGGTCAGGTGGTGACAGAGGAGCAGGACCTGCAGATGATAGTAATAGCAACTCAGAAAAACTCTCCCATCAGGTATCTTCATGCCTCCACAATACAAGACAGAGTGCGAGCAGCTGTTGCTCAGTCACAGGTCAGATGCTTCCCCCCTCTTGATCTTATAAGATGTTTGCATTTATAATACTATGAGAGAATAAAGTGGAATTATAATTCCAGGAAGCCGTTGGCATGCTAAGCAGCCTGGGAGCTAGAAGAGACAGAAGCAGAAGTCCCCCAGAAGAAACCCCTCCAGCAAAGATTTTCATACAGGCTCAACAAAAAGCTCAACATTTGAGGCCTCTGGACACCCAGGAGCCAAGTCACCAGCCTCAGACCAAACCAGATTCCCAGCAATACCAAGCCTTTGTTCCAAAGATAGTGGTGCAGGAACACAGAGAGCAAAAGTCGACTTCTCCTCCAATGCCATATACTTACGCAGAGGCTGTAAAAAGAACTGGAACAAAGTCACCTACAGAGTCCCAGGGTTTGACCTTGTCAGCGACTGCTTTGACAAAACAACAACCACAAATGCTTGACAGTCAAAAGGAAAAACAGGTACAGCAGCAACAACTCACCCAAGAGCACCTGCAAGAACTGGATCAGCAGGAGATGATTCCAACGCTGCCACAATGGCAATTGACACAGGAACATAAATCAACAATGCATCAACCAGAAGTTGTATTCCATGTACAAGATGAAACACATGGAGGAGGGATTTCTGGACATGACTATTTACCCCAGCAGACAGCTCTTCAGAAACTAGATTCAAGCTCTGGTGAATTTCAAAGCAGAAAGGCTCAGGCAATGAAAAACAGACCCTGGTGTCAAAAGACAGAAAGCCAGAAAGGGCCTGCTCCTCATCCAGAACAGGAGTTAGTTCAAGCAACAAAGACACATTCAGAGACAACAAGCGAAATGGTAACAGTCCAAATTGATCTTCAGCATTCAGGAGGCCCTGAACCTCAGCTGCAAGCACATGCTCTACAGCTAAGACAGCAACCTCAACATCTAATTGAGCCACAGCAAGAGGTGCTAAAACAACTACCACGGCCTGCATTAAGACAAACACAACCACACCAAGCTGTAAGTGCAAAACCACCTCACCCAAAAACTTCAGCACTTCCCCAGGTTAAATCGGCATCTGAGGTAGTGGTCCAGGTGCAATCAACAGGTGTATCCCAAAATATCACCCCGCAGCCAACAAAGACCATGCCCCCACCAATCAGAGTGAGTCAGGCTGAGTCACAGTCACCAGTTTTTTCAGAACCCCATGGCTCTGTGAAGTCACAGGTATTGGCTCAGTCCCAAACATGTTTCTTAGCTGAGCCCCAGTCAAGTATGCAGCAACAGGGCCAGGCCCAAAGCCATGCCCATGGTCCGGCTGTAGCTCAGGTACAAACATGGCCTCCTGTCAGACCCTCTTCTCCAATGCACACCACAGTGCAGGATCAAATTCAGTATCCAGTGCCATCCCATATTCAACTGCGTAGTCACCCTCAGTCCTGGGGACCCGTGAGGCCCCCTTCACCCAAACCTCCAACACAGGTCCTGCCTCAAGCCCCTGCACAAGAAAATGTTGATATATTGAATCCAACACATGGTGAAGCCAAGGCCCATTCTAAAACTCATGTTCAATCAGTGCCTGAGATGAAATCTCTTCCACAATTCATGACTCAACCACAAAGCCAGATGCCACCTGCCTATTCCAAAATTCCTACCCAGTCCATCTTTCAACCCCAAATGCATACTTGGTCCCAAGTCAGAGCCACTTCCCCAATGTCTACTCAGCATCCACAAACTGAATCTCAGCCAGAGGTTCAATCGCCATCTCACCAGTGGGCACCCAACCAAGAACCCCAATGTCAGGTATTTCTCCAGCAGAGACCTCCCATTCCTCAATCCTTGCACCAGCCAATGGATCAAAACTTACAATCTCAGGCACATCCACCCATCCAGATTCAGTGGCTACAGCCAATGCTCCAACAAGGATCTCAGATACGATCCCCTGGGTATTCTCAGGCTGGGCCATCATACACACACCCTCAAATACAGCCATTGTCACAAATACAGCAGCAAATGAGACCTCAGGCTCCCATGCATCAACAGGCTCCAATTGGGCCATATGATATTTCACATCATCAAGGACAACAAGGACAAATACCACAGATTTGTGTCCGCCAACGCCAACCTTATCCAGAACCCCTCTCGAAGCCATACCCGCAAATGCCACCAATATGTGTTCGTCAACGCCAACCATTTCCAGACCTACCCACACAACCATACCAGCAAATGCCGCCTGTATGTGTTCGCCAACGCCAGCCTTATCCAGACCCACCCTCACAACATTATACACCCTCGCTGCAGATTTGTATTCGTCAACGACAACCTTATACAGAACCTCCCTCAAATCCATCCACACAACTCCCACAGAATTTCATTTGCCAACCCCAGCTGTATTCACAGCCCCAAGTCTATCCAGAGTCTTCCTCACAAACAAACATCCAAAGACAGACGAGCCTAGAAAAGTCCTATTTTCCTGCTCAGCAACCTGAGGCCAACCTACAGTTCCAGGAACCTCGTTCTCATACCAGCTTTCAGGCCTCACCACAGGTAAACACTGTGGCTACAGATCAACCAAAGGGTCACACTTCTTCCAATGTGACATCCCCTGTCTATATAGCACCACAACCAGATGTTCAGGTAACAACTCAAATAAAAGTGCATTCACCAATACAAATTAAGAGAGAATCACTTCCTCAGTTTATACCTGAACCCAAGGCTGGGTCAACAACACAGCCTAAGGTAGAGGCCCAAATAGCACAACCTGAGAGTCAATCACCAGTTCAAGCTAAGGTTCAGTCAGCAATTCAGCTGAAGCCTCATTCTTTACCTCAACCCAAACCGCAGACACATGTGCTCCCTCAACCCCAAATTCAGCCTCAAGTGACTCAGATACCAAAGGTCCAGATTAGCCCAGAGGAAAGACCTCCTACCCATCCATTCACTTCACAACCCAAAGAACAACTTCTGCAAACTAATGTGGTCTCTCAGGTAAATGTTTTGCCACAGTCCCAGGCTGAGTCTCCAGACCCGTGCATCAGTCTTCCAGCTTTGGCTCAGGCACCACATCAGACCTACACGGAGGCTTACACCAAGGCCCAAGCACTGGCCAGGAATGGCTTTGAGGAAGCCAAGCACTGCCTACAGGAGCACATCCTTGAAGCCATCAATATCTTCAAAGTCAAGTGTATATCAGCCAACCAGATATCAGTCAAAGAGGTAAGTGATATTTCTTACTAGTTTTATTTTGTAGGTTTTGTGTTTCTACTAAGCCTTTCTAGACATGTTCTAAAGTGGAGTCCTTCTCAGAAATGAATCAGAAGGGCTGTATTTGAGGACATTCAGTAGACATTCTTTGGAGACTTGGCTTGCTGACAGGTGTCCTGATAATGTCTGGGCAGCTCAGGTTAGCAGAGGCTCCAGAAAATTACAAACGGGATAGATGAATCTGTAACTGTTTCAGATGGTCTAAGGCAGGGGTCGAGAACCTATGGCTCACAAGCCCGATGTGGGTCTTTTGATGACTACATCTGGCTCTCAAATAAATCTTAGCTGGCATTTCTTATCACAATAAGTAACAAAAAATTCCGCTGATATTCAAGTAATCATTACAGAAATCATAATGATAAAATAATCTTCAAAAACTAGTCTTTTACTACAAATAATGAAAAAAATAAAAAAATACAGTGCTAAATGAAATGCTCTTCTGCCAGGAGGCGTTGAAAACCCTGGACCCGGAGTTACTGGAGGAGTTCCTGCGAGCAGCAAAGGGCATGGAGGCCTTTTGCACTCTACCACAACTCAGAGACCTGGAATTTTTCACCCAGTCTGTCAGAACTCAGTGGGAGGTAGGGCACAAAGCCACCTACTGGTGAAATTGTGATATTTAAAATACATGTTACAGGAGATGTAATGTCTAAGCCTTGTCTTGTTGTTTGTTAGGTAACAAAAGATTGCCAAGGAGACCTACATGCTCTGTGTATTTATTTTTATTTTCTTAAAATGTGTCTTGTCCTGTCCACCAGGCTGTGAGAGCTGAGATCTCAGGCTTTTTGCAAAACTTGCGATTTGAAGTAACAAGAAAAGACTTTAACACAGCTGTCCTTCAGTGTGAGCTGCTCTTAGGTTCCACCCTAGAAACACAAATACAGGTAGTTGAATAATAATAGAACAGAATTAAAAGTCTGGTGATGGGTGTGTTTCAGTGGTAAGCTTCTCTGCCAGCGTATCTGTCATTTCATCATGTAAACCTATTTTTCTTCTTTCTTCCTTGTTTGCTACACCGGATCTCGTCAATCACACTTGGTAACTGCTGTTTGTTTCTTTCTTGGAAAGAATGCTGATTTTGTTGGCAGGTATAGAGGGAATTCACACCTAGCTGTGACAAAAGGAAAACACAATTCTTTTGAAAGAACAACACAGACACTTTACCACGTACAGTCTAAAAACAGCATTCTTTTTCTATATGTGTGGTATCTTGTTCTTGCTGCTGTCTTTGGGGCTTACGCTTTTTTGTTGTTTTTCGAGCTAAAATAACATTTAAAAATAATTGTGTATATTCAATGATGCTGCCATTTTTAAGATTTTAAAATATCCACATAATTTGTATAAATTGAAGTCAGTTACTTAAATGTATCTATTATCGTGTCGAGCCATTACATTTCAAGTAATTTGTTGTTGTGCAGTCCTCTGCAGTTTTCTGACTGTGTTAATTCTGTTGACTTTAACCAGGCCTGCTTTGCTGTGGACGGCAGCTTCGCGCAGGCAGGAAAACACCTGGAGGCTCTGAAGGAGCTGTGTGACACTTTGAGTCCTGAGGACGCTCACCGTCTGGCCCAAACCCAGCTAAGAGAGTGTGAAAGGAGACTAGCTGCCATCCAGCACCAGTTCAGTGGAGACCAGGACACATCCGTTTCTGATTCTAGGTCAGATATTACAGAATAAATGTTCCATTCTTGTGTTGAAAGACAGAAATAAAAGTCTACTCAATTACCAACATTTTTTTCGCAACCATGGGTCTAACCTTAACTCACTTATAAAAAATATGTAAACGTGTAATGTGTAATTTATTTAAATAAACAAAGTATCTCTCAAAAACACAGATAATATATTAAGATGAGCCTGTAACTTTGTTAGATTTAATTTCCAATTTGTTATTAAGGGTTACTTAATATCTATGATGGCTCAAGTACAAATGCACTTAACCCAAAAATTTTACAACATTGCCAAAACAATGAAACTTACCCAATATCTAAGAAAATTGAGAATGTCAAATAAAATAGGGGAATATTAGATAAAACACACTGTTGACTGTTAATGCATATCAGTTTTATTCCATATAGTATAAAACAATCTTAAAACACCCAAAATCTAATTAGGAGTTTTGAAATAATTTTCCAGCATTTGATTGTTCTGTTTACTGTATTAAATTACAGGTCAAAACCCTCTGTATTAAGTTCTTACATAGAGTGCTTGTATTTTCAGAAAGTAAATATCTCTTCTTTTTGTAAATAATTTCAAACCTGACTTTTGCAGGATTTCTGCTGAATTCACCGAAGACCTGACTTTGAAACAAGAGCTGGACAAACCTCAAATCTCAGTAGAGGTAGAAACCTTTTTTACCATTTTAATTTCTCCCACAAACACTGTTACCACCTTTTATGCCTTCTAAGGATAGAAAGTTTCAGTTGTATTCCCGATGGCTCATTGTCAAATATTAGATTTACCTCCTAAGGTGTGAGGTCAGAGCTTACAAGCAAACATTCTTTTTCATTCTCAGGTGTCTCACGTGACAGCAAAGACAATCAATGTGGAGGGAAGTGAGGTTGAAAAACAGCCAAGTGTAGAAGAGGAGGTGACTAAAAAAGAGGCCTTGGAGAGGTAGATATAAATAAGCAGGTGTTACTGCCATCACATTTCATTGAATTAAAATATACATATGAGCTAATTGTCAATTTAAATCATCAGATATGAGCATTGTAAAAAGACTCTCCAAGTCCAACTGGCAAAAAATGAACAGAGCATCGCAGATGCGCAGTCTGACACCGTCTCTCTCCAAGGCTTACACACTCGACTGCAGGAGATTCAGGTACAGAAGCTTCTTGTATATCCAAAAAAGTCATTAGCAATTAATGATTAGTTAAATAAAGAAAAGGAATATATATATATATATATATATACTGTAGAAAATTGCTTATTTTTTTGGTAAAGTTTATTTTTTAAGTTATATGTTATAAATAAATATTTATAATACTTCCATAATACTTCTGGTTTAAAGAAGACAGGATCCACTGATCTATAACCAGTGAAATAAACTGTTATCTTAAATAACAACAAACGTTCTCTCTCCAGTTCTTGAGACAGGAGACGGAAGCCCTCTGGTCTGAGTTTGGAAACCTGTGCTCCCAGCTTCATGGTAACCCTGTAGTGGAGCAGGAGAAGGCAGAACTCCAAGAGCAGTGGCGTAGCCAACAGCAGAGCCTCCAGAGGAGAGGCAGCTCACTGGGAGCTGCACTCAGACAGATTGACTCAACCGAGAACCACATGGTGGACTTCACCGACCGCCTTGACCGCTACCTGAGACAACCCAAAGACATCACATCCTTCACGCTGGCCAACACCAATATCTTGAAGGACATCAAGGTCTCCACTCAGCTGTAGACGTCCTATTTGTTTGTGGATTGTTTCTGGACAGCATCTTCTTACAGCTAAATCTTGTTTTCTTTTTGCAACAGGAACTAGATGACAATATCCAGAGTGAGCTGGACCAGCTGGCCCGTCTGGACCCTGAATCCACGGATTTGGACCCCAGAGACTGTTTCCCTCTGGCCCGTGAAGTTGAAACTCACAGAACCAGCCTGGACCAGCTTCGACAACAGGTCAGAAAGAGTGAAGCAGCTGCTCGGGCCCTGGACCGATTCCTCATGTCTCTGAGAACTATGGATGAAGACATCTCCGGAGTACTCAGCACACCCCAGAGTGACACTGCAGCCATGCAGGAGTGTCGCTCCAAGCTCACACTGATCCGACAGAGTATCGACAGCCTGAAGGAGAAGGCTCCTCAGCTGGATCTGCTGCTGCAGGGAGCCAGACTCACCGTCACCAGGGACAGCGTCCCTGCTTCTTGTCTGGACATGGTGACCACTCTGCTGCCGAGGCTAGAGGAGGCTGACGGAGTGCTGGCCAATCAGCAGCAGGGCCTAATGAGGGAGACACAAAGCAAATCCTTGGGTTTGAGGAAAAGGGCGCTCCTGGGACAACTGAGAACATTGCAGGATACTGTGGAATTACAGGGTCTGAAGGAGCCAACA